CATAAACAGCTTTGAAAAATAACACAGAATGTTTATGTCAGGTGGCTCAAGTTCTGCTTACGCTGCCTTACTCATTTTCCCAGCTGGGAATGCTTTCTGGCACCCTTTTTCAACTCTTCTACGGTTTGCTGGGTTGCTGGACTGCTTACCTTATTAGCGCACTCTACGTTGAATACAGAACCAGAAAAGAGAGAGAAAAATTTAATTTCAGGAACCATGTCATCCAGGTCCTACTCTTTTCAAATCTGAATTCTCCTTCCCCTTTTCATGTGTCTGTTTAACACAGCATATAAGTCTTTCAGTGGTTTGAAGTTCTTGACGGGCTCCTCGGGAAGCACTGGAGAAACGTTGGCTTGGCCTTCAACTGCACATTTCTTCTTTTTGGATCTGTTATCCAACTCATAGCTTGTGCAAGGTACGTATATATATCAACGCAAAAATCAGTCTATTTGCAATTCATTTGGGCAAGTAACAAGGTTAATTAACTCTTTTGCAGCAACATATATTACATAAATGATAATTTGGATAAGAGAAGTTGGACTTATATCTTTGGAGCGTGCTGTGCCACCACTGTATTTATCCCTTCCTTCCACAACTACAGAATCTGGTCTTTTCTTGGCCTCCTCATGACAACCTACACTGCTTGGTAACTCACTGTTGCTTCTCTCCTCCATGGCCAGGTAATAGTTTCAGATTTCAAAATGCTTTATGAATATCTATATTTGTAAGTGGTTGCTATAATAACATGGAATGTTGATGTTGCTATGATTGTGTAGGTGGAAGGGGTTCAGCATTCGGGTCCGACTAAATTGGTTCTATATTTTACGGGGGCCACAAACATTCTCTACACATTCGGGGGACATGCCGTCACTGTGTAAGACTGATATTTCACCTCAGATACCATTCCTACGAATCGTATCTTTTACGTTTTCACAGCTTTTTCTTTGCTCCTCCTTCGATTTTGGCTTCGTTAGAACGCATACAATAATGCTGCTGCTAATGATAATACTTGTATAAATTTATTCTACAGAAATCGATATTACTGCCAACTTTTTTATTATAAAAGGGATTGACAACATTGTAATACAATATACATATTATTTTTTCATTAGTTTATTATTTATTTCGTATTATAAATCTATTACAAAAATAATAATATGTATGTTGTATCAAAAATATTATTAAAAAACCTGTATTAACATTTGTAAAAATAACGAGATCGGGTTCATCGTAGGTGACGTGGCGCTAAAGATCATTTTCTGTATACTCAAACTTGACTTTTCAAACACGAGCTGTCAAATGTAGCCTATGACCATCTTAAGTCCTTTTCCCATGGATATTTTTTTTCTTGAAGATGAGAATCGTAACTTTTCATGTTCGGTTAGAAAATCAAAATTCTGACGCTGACGTTTTTTCCAGATGTTATGTATTACTTTTTTCCAAAAGGGAAAATAATGCTGTTACGCATGCATGCAAAAGAAGGGCCCTTTTTTCTGGGGAATCCTTGAGCTGCTTTTTGGTTGTAGAAAGCCAAGGTTCTTTTCTCTAAATGGATCAGCTTTAATGCTTTTTTTATCATGAGGACAGAAGAATTCCAGCTTTCCTTCTTGTAACTTTCAGAATTGTAGCACAGCTGCCACAGCTNTCATTAGTTTATTATTTATTAAAAAACCTGTATTAACATTTGTAAAAATAACGAGATCGGGTTCATCGTAGGTGACGTGGCGCTAAAGATCATTTTCTGTATACTCAAACTTGACTTTTCAAACACGAGCTGTCAAATGTAGCCTATGACCATCTTAAGTCCTTTTCCCATGGATATTTTTTTTCTTGAAGATGAGAATCGTAACTTTTCATGTTCGGTTAGAAAATCAAAATTCTGACGCTGACGTTTTTTCCAGATGTTATGTATTACTTTTTTCCAAAAGGGAAAATAATGCTGTTACGCATGCATGCAAAAGAAGGGCCCTTTTTTCTGGGGAATCCTTGAGCTGCTTTTTGGTTGTAGAAAGCCAAGGTTCTTTTCTCTAAATGGATCAGCTTTAATGCTTTTTTTATCATGAGGAAAGAAGAATTCCAGCTTTCCTTCTTGTAACTTTCAGAATTGTAGCACAGCTGCCACAGCTGATCAAAATTAAGCCAAAAAATTCCCCTTTTCTTGTTTTTCTATTTTGTCTGTACCTAAAAATGAGCAAACTAACATATTTGCCGCTAATTACCAATGCAAAGTTTAACACATCTCTGATTATTGGTTAACTTTAACTGTACATAACGTGGTTTTCAACTGTGTGAGATGGGACAGGGAGATAATGCATGCGATGTGGAAGCCTCAAAAATTCAAGTCCATATACTTACTGGCTAGTGTGTATGTTCTGACACTGACGCTTCCATCGGCAGCAGCAGTATACTGGGCATTTGGAGATATGCTTCTTGATCACTCCAATGCTTTTTCTCTCCTTCCAAGGTCACCCTTCCGTGACATGGCTGTCATTTTAATGCTCATCCACCAGGCAAGAATCAAGTAACTGAAAGCACTCCATCTAGCTCATAATTCAAAATTAACAATCAATAACCGAGGTTTGTATTTCATGGTGCAGTTCATAACATTTGGGTTTGCATGCACGCCACTGTATCTGGTGTGGGAGAAAGCAATAGGGATACACGAGTGTAGGAGCCTCTGCAAGCGAGCTCTTGCGAGGCTACCAGTGGTGATCCCCATATGGTTTCTTGCCATAGTCTTCCCCTTCTTCGGGCCCATCAACTCCACCGTTGGATCTCTTCTTGTCAGCTTCACCGTTTACATCATTCCCGCCCTCGCTCACATCTTCACCTTCAAATCACCCGCTGCTCGACAGGTACAATGCATTTTCATTGATTTCAATTTAGAACTGGTTCGTTTGATTTGATCTGATGTGGTTGTTGATGAAACGCAATGCAGAATGCGGTGGAGCAACCTCCGAAGTTGGTGGGAAGATGGGCCGGTGCGTACACGATCAACGTATTTGTGGTGGTGTGGGTTGTGGTGGTAGGGTTTGGATTCGGTGGATGGGCAAGTATGGTTAACTTCGTACACCAGATTGACACATTCGGTTTCTTCACCAAATGTTACCAGTGCCCCTCGCCCACCTCCGTCCACCCGCCGCAACTCAACGCAACCGCGCCTTCCCCTCTCCGTCACTGACTCTTCAATCCTCTTATTATCATCAGTACTCCATTCTCTATATACTTGACTTTGTAAGTGACAAACATTTTGAAAAAACACTCTATAATCCAGCTATCTTTTTCTCCACTTTTATTCTATAATATTTTAACCTACATTAAATATGAAAACTTGTAAATGTTACTGAAAAAATATTAAGTGTTAATTTTTACATAAATAAATAAAAGAATATACCTTTATGAGATTACAACTGAATTTTATAAGATACTTATGTTTCGTGATACTAAATTTATATATTTATCAAAACTTAAATATAATCGGTCGAACAAATAAAAAAAAACTTTTATAAACTCTTTTAAAATTTGCTTTACGAATAAACTTTTTTGTTAAATATAATTCTTTTTTCAGATACAATTCAATCCGTTTATTGTGTTACTTTAAACTAGCGAACCTTTTTTTTATAAGAAACTAATAAACCTTCTCTGATTAAACATAAAAATGTTCTTTAAGAATTAAAAATAAAAAAAATAAACTATCAAGTCATTTTTTTATTAAGTGTGACACAAATTCAAACTCTATCTATATTTATAATTATATTGTGCTTATGGATATTATAATTAAATGTATGTATAAGGATATTAACTGCAAAATATATATATATATATATATATATATATATATATTTTTAATGTAATATTTGAAATTAAGAATCACAAACTAAGTTACAGTTCATGATAATAATAATAGTAAAAAAAAGTGTTGAACTAGGTTAAATATATAAGAAAAAAGGCTTAGTTTTTTCTACAAACTTTTAACAACTCCAAATAATAATAAAATATTTAATTAAAATTGATCATAGAATGTGAGTATGAATATGACTTATCATGTAACTTATCACAAAAATAGTTTTACACTTATGCTATTTAAAATTTTTAAATTAAGAAGAAACTTAATCTTTAAATTGATTTGAAGTTAAAAACAACAATTAAGAAGGTGAGAGTTCTATGTCTCTTGACAATGGGTAGCACGACATATTAACTANACGATAAACAATCATCAAACAGGAAACTTAATTAAATTACAAGTTTCCCTTACCTCTAAACGTGACCTGACGCTCACAGGTGTAGAATACCGGTTCACCACTACAATTTCTTCTAACCTTAGAATTTGTTGATTACAAAACTAGACCAAAATAAAGGACCAAAACACTATCAGAATCACATATAGAAAAGTGATCAATCCATGCAACCAAAACTTGGTTTGCATGTGCAAGAAAACCACACGGCTGAGGAAGGAATGAACTTACCAACTTAAACCCAAAACTAGATCGGTGCAAAGCATAGCTCTTGGAACCAGGAATACTCAAGCGTGGTCTGAATGATGATCGAAAGAAGAAAAGAGTAAGATTTCTTAGAGAGAAGTAGGAAGTTTGTAGAGAGAAGGAGGAGAGAATGAAAACTCAGAAGGTTAAAGATGAAAGGTGCATTCAGAAAAGTGGCGTGAAATTTGAAAACTTAAGTTTTACTCCTACCATCAAAACTGATCGGCAACTCAACTGCTCACACCTGTCTTTTACTTTCTGATTTTTAGATACCCCTTCACTGACACATGTAATCCACTAAGCTGGGGTTTTTAGGATTATGACAAAATTAATTTAAAATAAAATATGATTAATGGAAATTAAGTTAAAATAAATTACAAATGATTAGTTTAAATAAAAATATATATTTTAATTGATGAAATAATTTTAATAAATATAAAAATTAAAACAAATGTGATCGATTAATTTTAACGAAATGGTGAACCGATTTTGTGAAGCTTAAATTTATTTAATGAATATAAAAATATTTATAAATTCTACTTACTGATATTTTTATTAATTAAAATAAATTTTTATACATCTATATCTAGTTTAAATGTATTTATTAAATAAATGAATGAATAATACAGTAATTTTATTTTTTATATTCGTTTATTGTAACAAAAACATTAAATTAGATTTAGATATATAAAAAATTATTTTAATTAATAAAATACATGTAAATATGATTTATACATATTATTATATTTATTAAATAAATTTAAGTTTCATTTAGAAAAATAGAAAACATTTGGAACTATTAAATTATTAATCCACATTTTTATAAGATTAAATTTGATTTTTATAAATAATGTCTAATAACAATATTAGCGTTTATTTTAAAATAATTTAGGAAATATCATACATTTATCGATAAATTCAACATTAACCAGTTTTACAATAGAAAACAATACTTGTGATTAAGAAAAATATCACAGAAAAACAATTACAAAAAGTTGTCCAATGATACAAACAAACATATAAGATTTTTAAAGAAAATTATGGAAAAGAAGGATGAGTATAAGATTGATTTCCGAGAGCAATAGTAATTTGAGATAGCAAAATGAGNTAGTAATTGTGATTTGGTATTGAGTAAAAGAGTGAAAGACAAAAAGGGTGAAAGTATGAAAAGTAAATTTTGTTTTACATTTGATTAAATGATGTTGTCTTGTTAGAAACACATATGGATTAGCATTGCAATAAATAAAAGAGAGTTAAAATTAAGAGACGTGGATTGCCCGAGTCCGATTGGAGAAAGTGAATCTGAGCCGTTGGTTGAATTTAAAAAAATTGAGAAAAGAAAGAAATTGGAAGAAGAAGAAAGCGGAGGCGTTGGATGATGGAGTGCGTGAAAGTTAAGTGTAGGTCAAAATTGTGACGTATAAAAGGCAGAAGGTGCAGAGCAGTTTGAGCCGTAGAGCAGACAGTGACAGAGAGAGAGATCAGATCCGAAGGAGAGAGAGAGAGAGATGAGCGAGAGTGAGAAGCAGAGGGTAACGGGAAAGGTCAAGTGGTTCAATGATCAGAAGGGATTTGGCTTCATAACCACCGATGACGGCGGCGAGGATCTCTTCGTCCACCAGTCCTCCATCCGATCCGACGGTTTTCGCAGCCTCGCCCTAGGAGAGTCCGTCGAGTTCCTCATCGACTCCGATTCCGAAGGCCGCACCAAGGCCGTCGACGTCACCGGCCCTGACGAATCGCCCGTGCAGGGCACCCGCGGTGGTGGAGGAGGGGGAAGAGGTGGATACGGCGGCGGCGGTGGTGGTGGAAGAGGTGGCTATGGCGGCGGAGGACGCGGAGGACGAGGTGGATATGGAGGCGGTGGCGGATATGGAGGAGGTGGATATGGCGGAGGCGGTGGGTATGGTGGAGGTGGTGGTGGTGGAGGGGGTTGCTATAAGTGTGGGGAGACAGGTCACATGGCGAGGGACTGCAGCCAAGGTGGAGGCGGCGGTGGAAGGTACGGCGGAGGTGGTGGCGGCGGTGGCGGTGGAAGCTGCTACAACTGTGGGGAGTCTGGGCATTTTGCGAGGGACTGCACTTCGAATGCGCGTTGATTTGTGGGGCCTTGCTTTTGTGTTTTGTGGTTCTTTTGCTTTCTTTTTTTCGTTTTCCTACTCTGAAGATTATGCTTTAGAAATAGGATTAGCTAGGGTGTGGCTTCTCTGCGTTTTTATTTTTATTTTTTACATTAAAAGCCATTAGTTGCTGGGTTTATTATTGCTTTGTTTTTGGGTTAGGGAAAGGAGGGTTTGTTTTGGTGAGGTTCTGAAATCATCGGCTAAATACTCTGTTTCCTCTGTTTAATGCGCATCTTGAACGTAATATCCTCTGCTTTACCTTAATGTTCAAAACCTTAAATACCTGTTCTGCATTTATCATGCTCCTGTCTTCCCATTGTTTTTATGTCTACTGTTTTCTTACTGAATTATTTGTCCGGAAAATCTTTATAAAGTGCACATCAGGGAGATACATGGATTCGGCCATGCTCCAATGCCAAACACTGCTATTAGAACTTTCATTGATGGATTGCTGCATTAACTCTAAAAACATCTGACTTTTGCATTTATTTTTGCACTTAAATGAGAATGGGGATGATCAAAATTCTATATCCTCCTTCATGTGTATGGTTATTTCTTTAGTGGCTATGGATTTTATGAAAATATTCATACATATTAAGTAGGCTTACTGGGATTTTTCCGTCCATTAAATTGAGGGAAACTATGTAAATAATTTCCAATCTCCTTTTAAACTTTGCTTATGAATTTGAAAGGAAAGTTGTTTGTATTAAATGGATATATTCAATGAAATTAGTCCTTCCAAAGTTTTCTATTTTTTAATATATAAGAATCAATTTTTTAGTTGTGCATATTGGTTTTTGTGGTCTTGGTGTCTGGATGGGAGTGATAAATGTTAATTTGATTTGTTTGTATTTTTTCTAAGCCATTATAATGTCTGGCATGACCTGAGACCTTTAAAAGGACAATTCCACAAATAGAGGTGTGCCATTAAAAGGAGAAAAAAGCCATAGCTGGTAGGTACCTTCTGGAATCGATTCTTGAAAGAAAAAGCAGGAGTACATGAGTGTATAAAATAAAAAAATGAGAGTAATATATTAAAATTCGAATAAAGATATCTCCTGACTTTATATATTCTTTCTCTTTTGTTAATGCGAATCTATATCTCACCTCGAAACGAGAAAATTGAATAATATAAAAATACATATTAATTTATTTTTTTAAAATCTTTGGATAAGTAATTATTTTAAAATTTCACCCGGTTGTGCATGGCACCTTTTAATCAACTTCTAAAATAACCAGTGACTTTTTTTTTGTATGTTTTCTTTTAGGATCTATTTGTGACGTCTACAAGCAACAGATGCAAATGATGTAATTGACGAATCTAAACATTATCCATATTTTGGTGTGCTGTGTATCTTTTATTTCCCCTTTATGATTTAGGAACACATCACACTGACATGTTTCGTGAACATATCTAGATTGTTTACTAAGACTTNCATTAACTTAAATCTTATAAGTTTGAGGTTATTCATCTACTTCTAACTCTAGCCATACATAAAATATTTTTATATTAAGTGAGTGATTTTCATGCACACACTCTCTTCATGGAACGATATATTAATTACATATCGTATTATTAGAGCCAATTCTTTATGCTCTGAATGATGAAAATCGTTGACGACATTTTCACATGGTTGTGGATTAGCTACTTGAAGTTGTAGAAAGTTATTAATTAAAGAGTTCTCTTAGAAATTACAAAAATCTTGAAGTTTTAAATCTAATTTGTTATATCACTCGTCTTCTAGACAAGGAATGGAAGAAAGATAATCGTTTAATACATTATACATTTTAAGATAAGAATTTTAAAAAAATAATAATAATTATGTGCCATTTCTAAACTAAATATAAGTAAATAAATATTTCATTGCTAAAATTTTATAGTAATGAGAGGAGAATGTTGTATCTCTTTTTCATGTTCATTTAATAGTTTTAGTTAGAGTTAGACAAAATGAATTGTATTGGCTGCACTATTAAAAACTGTACTAAACAAAAACCTAGTCTATTTGAAATAAATTCATGAATTGAACTATCTTTTATTTTATCAAATAGCATTGATCTATAATATAAACTAAATTGAATTGTTATGTACCTTAAATGAACTGAATTTGACTCAGTCGAAACTCGATCGAATTAGTTTTAAATGAAATTTGATTGAGTTTACCTTTGTCAAAAATCAACTAAATTTAGAAAATCAGTTCCGGACAAAAATCGAGAAAATTCAGTCGAGTCAACCCTAACTAAAGTTTGGTCTAATTGGTAGTAATCAAACTAAGCTACAACTTTAAAAACTCTCAAACAAATATAAAATATAAAATGAATTAATTTTGAGTTAATGAATTAACTCAACTATAACTTTAAATGTTTAGTTTTCTAAAAGTAAACTATAAAATAATACAATTGAATTTTTTATTGTAAGTATTTCAATTTTTTTTATTCAATATAATGCGGTTAATTGATAGTTTAATACACTTTAGTTCATTTTATTCGTCCTCCTGATGTTATTTTTTTATATTTTCAATCCACTATGTTTTTTTTGTTATATTAAAAGAATTAAATTTCAATATTTTTATTAAGTGATTAAAAATGACTTTACATTACTTAAAGTATTCATTACAAATCTAAATTAAAAGTCATATATTAAAAAATAATTTATTATAAATTTAAAATGATATAAAAAATAGCATTATCTGCATGCGTGGATAAAACGTCAATGGTTTTAATTAAATTGCATAAGTCCATTTCAATCCATTCCCCTCCTGTCTCTCCCTATAAAGNTTGGTGTGCTGTGTATCTTTTATTTCCCCTTTATGATTTAGGAACACATCACACTGACATGTTTCGTGAACATATCTAGATTGTTTACTAAGACTTGGTTCAGAACTGAAGATGGATTTGAATTAGTAGAAATTGGAAAGTGGATTTGTTTGGATTGATGAAAGCAGATTTAAAAATGAAGAGAAATGAAGAAAAACTATATATTTTAATTAATAAAACTATAAGATTAATCAGTTTAAAATAATTTAAAATAAAATGTAAGTTATTTTTTAAAATAAAAAATGTTAAATACTCAAATTTGTAAATCTCAAAAATACAGCATAAACCATATCTAGAATATTCACATTTTAACAATATTACATTTCAGTTATGAGATTAAGAAGTACAATTATAGCCGAACGACCTTATCAAAATATCATAGGATTTAAACTTTACAGATCTACAATCTAAACCGAACGGTTTCCAAAATCGCCTATACCGAACGGTTCTACAAAATAGAAGCAACAATACTAACTGAACAGTTCTAAGGTTCGGCCTTCACTTCCACTTCTACCAGAGGTTCTTCGAGCAACTCTTCTCCTTCTACTCACATCCACAGGATCATTGCAACAGGACAATACGACTGAACGGACAAAACAGACCAGACAGAAAAAGTACAGGGTAAGCTTATGTAATTTAATTAATTCTATAAAACATGTATTTCAGATAAATTTGATATACAATCAAATAATTAATCATGCAATCATCAGATCATACACTTCCAACCAAAATCATACGTCAAAGCATGCAATGACCGACCAAAATCATTTGATTTACTCTGACTGTTCGGACTGTATGAATTCTGTGTAGTTACGACGTTTTTGCACCCGGGTGATGTAATAACTGAGATATCCTCAACAGCTGCCACCCGAGGTTAGTCTGTTCCGCCCAAATTCACCTTATGGTCTAGGACCTCCTGCCATTCCCACACGAGTTACCCTTCTCTACGTGAGAACGAGTAATCACGGAATATCAGGATAAACGCCAGCTAAGCTTTGTCTACATTTATACTTTACCATTCCAATACCGTTCATGAGATATTCTTCCTTGGAATTCTCTTTAACATCCATACCATTCCATTCATATCACATTTCCATTATCATCATACTTTAACNTATTATTAAAAGTAGTATCAAATGAAAATGTTTCTTGTGAAACTTTCCAAGAAGTAAACGCCAAAGTTTGTTTCCAGGGAAGTACTCCTAGCTAGCTTCTAACTCTTTGTGTGACCTTTATCAGAGCCGCCATATGGCTTCTCTGAAATTCTGATAAAAAAAAGTTTGAGCCTTCAACATCTGATTTTCTGATATGCAGCTTATCATACTCAACATCTCCATCTAAACAAACATATGCACATGAGTTTTAGGGACTTCTCTTCCTCTTTCATCACTCGACATTAGTAATTTTTATTTTAGTCTCTAATTGTTTTCTATATATATAAGTTTTCAAATCACTTTAAGTTTTATAAACCATGTATCTGGAAGCAAGGGTTTCTCTGAAAACAGGACGTCCAAGAGTACACATTACACACAGTTTACCCGAGCTACGGTAGTAATGATAACACAAATTAGATTAGATATTTCAAAATTCTGATTATAGAAAAAAATCTACACGACACAATATGAACTTTTCAATAAAAGAAATCTTCCTTCTTTTAGTTTATGAAGAAATCTGAAAATCTGTCCTCCCTCCTTAATCCATCCTTCACGGTCCTGAATAAACAGCGAAAGGGATGTAAATGCAGGAGTGTGATGAATTATAAAGTTGACAGAAAGAAAAAATTGTTGAGAAGTTGTTTTTGAAAAAGAACACAGAAGAAGCTTTTCTATAGAGATATATTCTAATATTGGATACAAAAAGACGATGTGCCTAGATTAATTTGAGGGGCAAGCAGCCTGGAATATATACATAAACTCATGCAATCCGTAAAAGTAAAAGAAGACGGAATGGAGTTACAGATTTCATGGTTGAGCAGGTAGGTAGGTATATATATGTTTGATAGTTCAACGGAATCCTCTTCCTCTTGATTGATAGAGTTCGAGTCTACTCTTGGCTTCTGGTAGCAGTTGAATGATGCTGTGTTCCTCCACGAGATGTGCCTGCTTGGTGCACCACTCCAGAACTATGAGAACCTCTTCTTGCGCCAGCGTCTCGCTCTTGGGGACGTGGAGCGCTATGTAACAAAGGAGAGTGACGGAAGGAATCTGAACCATTTGCTCCCCAAAGTAAACCAGTTGAATCAAGTGCTTGGCGCCCCCAGCCTCTATGATGGCGTTGCAGTGGTTCTCGTGGAGGTAGTTTTCTGTGCATGCAAATTTGTTC